TGGGCCGCTCTGTCACTGGCTGTGCCTGCTGGGTGGCCAGTGGTCGGTCCTCACGGATCCTATGTCCAGCTTGTTCCTTGAGTAGCAGGGACAGTGGAGGGCACAGAGACGGCGTCCCCAGCAGGACCTGCACGCTGCGATGCTCTCCCATCCAGCCGGCCCTGTCAGGGCAGCCCCGATGCAAGCCTGGAATGTCCCTGCGTGGGCCGGCCTCGCAGAGCAGCTCGCTTTCCTGCTTTGTTTGTTTCTGTTTTAAATTTGACCTGAGAAGGTCCAGGTCTTTATTATCTGGCATCTTTCCATTACCCAACTCAGCCTGAACACACAGAGATTCACTTCTTGCCTTGTATGACTTTTTTGCCAAGGTTTGGAGCTGACCTCGGGAGCAGAGGTGGTCAGAGCCGTTTCTCAGCTACCTGGCTCTGTCCATCTGTCCACTGTGCAGTTGGGGCCTGGCTGCCAGCAGTTTCGGCCATTGTTTAGCAGGCCTTCCCTAGAGCCTGGGGAGGGCTTCTGCCCTCACGCTGCGCCTGGCAGGGGGGGGAGCTTGGAGGGCCTCACATGGCTGGCCTGGGTAGAATGACTGGCAGCCCTGCCAGAACCCGCGCCCGGGTTGGGATGACTCTCATGAGGTCGGGTGCTGGTAGCAGGCTGAGGTGGTGCAGGTGCCAAGTGCAGACCCTGTTCCTGAGACGGGTCTTGTCTCTTAGTGGCAGTGTCCACAGTTCCAGGAAAGCAATGCCGTGTGTTCGTGCATGTCTGTCACGCCCTGCAGTGTTGATGGCTCTTGGTGTCTACTGCATGCTTTGCAGGTGGAAGAGGAGGTTGTCACCCTGCGCCAGGTCCTGGCAGCTAAGGAGAGGCACTGTGGGGAGCTGCGAAGGAGGCTGGGGCTGTCTGCCCTGGGCGGGCTGAAGCAGAGCCTATCCAGGAGCTGGCATGACGTGCAGGTCTCCACTGCGTAGGTACCCACCCCGCAGGGGGCTGCCTGGTTGGCTGGGGGCATGCTCCCAGGGCACGTGTCCACATGGGAGTGTGCTGGGGCCGGGGGGCTTCTGGCAGCGGGGCTCAGGCGTGTTTGGAAGCAGCCCAGCACGCAGTCCTGTGCCCTCCACCACGGGGCTGCCCAGTGTTTGCTTGGGGCTCGAAGCCTGCCGTGCCAAAGAGAGGTGGTGGGGCACACCGAGCGGGAGCTGCTGGATGGATGTGTCACAGTCCCAGTTCCAGAGAGCACTGGCGAGGTCACGTCTCTGGGCCCCCATGACCGTGCCGACATGAACACGAGTCCTGAGGAGAGTGACACAGTCACAGCCCCACGACTCTTGCCCACATGTGACCATGTAGTCACAGGACCCCAAGGCCTTCCTGTGACCCATGCCTGACTTTGGGGAGGATAGCCTTCTGGCCATGCCACGGGGCTTTTCTGAAACCTAATTTTCAGGGTAGCTAGGGATGGAATTCTTTCCAGAAACCTTGTCCTTGCCTCTGACAGGCCGAGCTGCATTGCCTAGATCTCAGAGAAAGCTCGTGTGTCTGCCCTCGGACGTCCTGGTCTGAGTCCCAGAGGGAGAGTGTCAGGCAAGGATGTGGGTTCCCGCCCACGCCCAAGCGGCCCCCTCTGCTGGGAAGGAGGTCGTCAGCGCTCTTCCCCTGGCTCCTCGGCCGCACAGCGACTCCTGACTCTGCTGTTTCTCCGTCTTCCTGGACTCTCACCTGCAGTTTGAACCCTGAGTTGAAATTGCCCTTCTAGATGATTCACCACAGCATTTCTGTTTTTAGCTATGTGAAAACTTCTGAGAAACTTGGAGAGTGGAATGAGAAAGTGACCCAGTCGGACCTGTGAGTTCAGCACCCCTTCCTTATCTGTGCCTCTGCTGGCTTTCTCTAGGGCAGGGGGCTCTGTACCTGCTGGGCGCTTGTTGGCTCTTGTTTTTAAGTTCAACAGCTCCACTCATGTTGGGTGAGACTGCTGTAGTGTAGTAGCTGGGGGCACTGAGCAGCGCAGGCCTCCCCTCCCTTCCCCGCCCTCCCTGCCCGGTGGGTGAGGAGCCTGAGCTGGGAGCTGGGCCCTTGGACCACTTGGCTGCCGCCATCTAGCCTGGTCTTGATGGTGGCGAATTTTCGTTCAGGGGTTTTTAGGTTTTCTTGTCTTCTTTTTGTCACCTGAAAGCTTGCCTGTGGTGGGGTCGGGGTGGGGGCAGTGCTCAAGCCTCACTTGGACTGTAGGCGTGGTTCTTTTTTTCAGGTTTTTGCCATAGGTCGTGTGCGCTCACCATACAGAGATAGCGAGAGGGAGAGTGAGAGATCACAGGGACCAGCAGTTACGTAACGGCTGTGTTGCTGGACTCCCACGTAGTCGACTGTGGTTCGCGGCCCGGACCCGGTGGCTTAAAACTCATGCCGGGTGCATGTGCGTGCGTGCCTAAGATCCTGAGAGGAGAATGGAGGAGAAGGGATTGCGGTGTGGCCATCCCCCCTGGGGGGTGATTTCTCGCTTTCTGTCTCTCTCTCTGTCTCTCTCTCTGTTTGGCAAGCGCATGCGCCCTATAGCAAAAAACCTCTCCAAAAAAAGAAAAAAAAGAAAAGAAAGCCCCCCCAGGGGGGTTGGCCATGCTGCAGTCCCTACTTTATTCTCCTCCTGGGATCTTGGAGCCACACACATACATGCCTAGCACGATTTTCAGGCCACTGGGTGTGGTCGGTCATGTGGGAATCCAGCAGCCTCAACCACCATGCCACCCGCTCGCCCCATAGGGTGTTCTTCAGTGGCGGCGTGGTGCAGGCTGTGCTGGTGAGGTCTTGAGGTTCCTGTGCTGCCTGTCACAGCACTGGCAGAGAACAGACGGGTGTGGACACGTGGCGTCCCTGACACTGTCCAGTGACCCACCACTGTGAGGCCCGTAAACCCGTCGAAGCACCTTGTTTGCCCATGCTCCACTCTGAACGCAGCTTCTTAAAGCCAGGCAGGGGGTGTTCAGAGACCACCTCTGTAGGGCTTTTTGTCTCTTGTGGGGGGAGGTGCTTTTGTGGTTGTCACAAAGCTTGGGCACAGCATCCGGTGTCCAGGCGAGAGGACACGGTGTGGGGACCAGGTGTGTGGGCTGTCATGGAGCCTCTGCGAGAGGACACGGTGTGGGGACCAGGTGTGTGGGCTGTCGTGGAGCCTCTGCGAGGGGACACGGTGTGGGGACCAGGTGTGTGGGCTGTCGTGGAGCCTCTGCGAGGGGACACGGTGTGGGGACCAGGTGTGTGGGCTGTCGTGGAGCCTCTGCGAGGGGACACGGTGTGGGGACCAAGTGTGTGGGCTGTCGTGGAGCCTCTGCGAGGGGACACGGTGTGGGGACCAGGTGTGTGGCTGTCGTGGAGCCTCTGCGCCTGCTGTCCCGTGGGGCAGTGTCTGGAAGCTCTCTGGTCTGTGTGCCTGGACTCAGCACCCAGCCATTGCCCTGAGTGCCCCAGGGCACTAGGGGCCATGGTAGGCAGTGGCCGGGGTGCTGGGGGCTGCAGTAGGCGGTGACTGTTGTCCAGGCAGTTTGGGTCCCAGACAGTCAGTCGCCTTTGGAGGCCTTAGCGCTCTCTGGAAGTGAGCTGGCGTGAGGCTGATGGCTTGCCTTTTCAAGTAACTGGTTTCCCTGGGTGCTCAGGGTACCTAGAATTCCGAGCCCTTTGGGGTGGCTGTGGCTCAGTGGACGGGGAGGCTCTCAGCACTGGCCGCCTGCCCCTCCTCCCCGTTGGTGGGGAGTTGTGGCTCTGGGCCTTCTCCAGCAGTCACCTCCAGGAGGCGAGAACGCCACGGAGAGCAGGGCTGGCAGGTGCCTGTGCCCCCGCCAGGCTGCAGGAGCACGCGTGCTGGCAGGTCCTGCCCCCTTGTCCTGTGGGACTGAGCTGCATCTGAGCTACTGCCCTGCCTTTTTACTTGGGGGAGCGATTGTGTCCTCTGGGTGGTGACAGGACCTCCACGGTGTACCCTCTTTTTTTTTTCTTTTTTTGGGGGGGGAGAGGTTTTCACTGTAAGGCGTGTGCGCTCGCCAGACCGAGAGAGAGCGAGACATAGAGTTAGAAAGTGAGAAACCCCCCCGGGGGGATGGCCACGCCGCAATCCCTTCTCCTCCATTCTCCTCTTGGGATCCTGGGCATGCACGCCTATGCGCCCGGCATGAGTTTAAGCCACTGGGTCCGGGACTCGAACCGTGGTCGACTACATGGGAGTCCAGCGACATAGCCATTGTGCTAACTGCTGGTCCCTACGGCGTACCCTCTTCACAAGCAGATTGAGCCAGAAACCCAAGGGCCAGGAAGGTACCGCATAACTGCACTTGGGGGCTTACTTGGCGTTCTTCAGTTAAAGGTGTCAGGAAGCACAGCTGTAGGGCGAGCCCAGGAGGGCTGGGGAGGGTCAGCTGGCAGGAGAGCCCCTGTTCCTAACGGGTGGCTCAGGTGTGCGTCTCACTGGACCTGGTGTGAGGTAGGATCCTCCGGCCAGCCAGTTGTGGATCACGTGCCCACCCAGCACCAGTTGGGGTGGGGCAGCCCTCAAAGGCGATGGAGGCGGGGCGCTTGCCAGGTGCTCTGTGCTGGTGGGGCACCTCCCACCTGTCTGTCTCCCGTGGTCAGAGAAACTCCCAGAAGGGACCGGGTAGCTCGCTGCCAGCACAGATGCTGGCCCTGCCCTCACTGTCGCTCCAGAGCACCCCCTGGCGTGCCCCCTGCCGAGGTGGTGAGCTAGGGCCCCCTCCCCACCCTCCAGGGGCTAGGTCAGGGCTCCCCCCACCCTGTTCACCAGCAGTGCGAGGCCTTGGAGCAGCCCTGCCGCCCTGGGAGCCACTGAGACCCAGGATGGGGCTAGGAAGGGGAAGCAGAGGCCAGGAGACCAGAGTACGGACAGCGGTGCCTGCTGTGGAGGGGCTGGCCAGTGCAGCACTCATGGGCTTCTCGGGGTGGCAGTTCCCGATGCTGAAGAAGACTCACTTGTGGCCTCCCGGTTCCATACCCAGCATGGTGCGGGCCGTGGGGCCCACGGGCCTGAGTGTGTCTCCTCTGTGGGTGTCCTCGTCCCGTCTTACTGTCCCCCGGACCCCTCATTCTCAAGGCGACCCAGACTTCCGCTTCCTCCCCTGCACCTGTTGGGTACTGGTGGCCCTTCCACGGGGCTCTTCTTTAAGCCTCTGCTTCAGGCACTTTTTTGTAACCACCCGCGAATGGTGTCTGCTGTTCCAGGAGGGCCAAGCTGGGTACTCTGCCCCGGTGCTGATGTGCGGCTGCCGTCAGTTCCTCGTGCCTGCGAGCAGCGACTGTGCTGAGCTCTGCAAGGGAAGTGTCCTGTCCGACTATGGCTGGGCTGGCGCTCTGGGGCTGCTGAGGCCCCTGAGGAGGCTGCAGGGGAGGGTGTGCTCCCAGACTCACCCTTACCCTATGATGGCATTCCTAGACGGTTTCAGGCTGTGGTGGGAGGGGTGGGGGCAGCAGGCCCTCATGGGGGGCCTCCTGCAGGGAGTGGTGACCTGGGGGTTGTGGCTTTGTCTGGAGCCTGCGTGTCTTCAGGATGCCCGTTGTCTGAGCCACAGCCCCTCGGGGTTTGCCAGGCTGGCTGAGGAGCTGAGACCTGGTGTGCTGGAGCTGCCACGGGTCCCTGTCACCCGCCATTGCAGCTCTCTCTTGCCGATGCCAGAGCACACGGCTGTGGGTGGAAGTGGTGGTCCTCGCAGCAGCCAGACCACCCTGCAGGGTGAAGCTGGCAGGTGGGCGAGCCTGGTGGCTGTCGCTCTGCAGACGGGGCTTCCCGCTGGGTGTGCAGCTGCACCGTGAGGTGAGTGCCCTCACCAGGTGCCAGCGTTGTGCTTGCAGCCCTCAGGAACGGCTGAGGTGAGAGGGAGGGATGCCTGTGGCACGTGCTGGCCAGTCGGGGCCCCAGGGGCTCTTGCTGCTTGGCACCGCTGCCTGGATATACAGCCAGGCCCCAGGCTTCCAGGGCCGCCTCCACAGGAGGCCAGTGTCGCGTGGTCCAAGTGGTCAGAGATGCTGTGAGAGTGCAGAAGTGGCCAAGGAGGTTTGGGCGAGCAGGCCCGGGAGCCTTGGTGACAAGGGTTGCTCCTCTGCTGCAGTGCCCTGGGTGGGGCGCCCCCACTGGGCGCTGCGGGTGTGCACCAGCTCTCCGACTGCTCCCGTGCCCTCCTCTCTAGGTCTCTTGAGCTGTTTCTTGGCCTGTGTGTTTGTACCCTTGTGGGTGGGTCAGTCGACTGTGTGTCTTCCAGCTACAAGAAGACTCAGGAGACCCTTTCGCAGGCAGGACAGAAGACGTCAGCTGCCCTGTCCACCGT